TGTTCTTTCTGAAACTAAACACGGCGCTCTAGCTAGACGGTTATATGTAATAGATAATATTATATAGACCTTATGCATAATGTGTCACAAGGCTTAATGCCTATAAGGAATGGTGGTCTTAATGATCTTCGCCTGGGAAAAGTTGGTTTGTGTCCGTTTTGAATTTTTTAATTTTCCCGGGCGATAACTACAAAGACCAGCATTCCTCGCAGTCATCAAGCCTCGTGACGTCATTATGCATAAGGCCTATTGCCCATGCCAGACAAGCAAAGTCGCTATGGCATCCCTTGCTTAAGTTGAGGCAGAAATGCTTAAAATTCATGCACGTTCGCCTGATATAAATCCGATCGAGAATATATTCCATCTTGTGAAATCTCAGTTAAATACACAGACAGTAACAGAGAATATCACCAGTGAATCTTCAGAAACAGTTTCAAACTCGAATTCTTCAAGTAATGAGAACATTCCCTATCGACATGATTGATAAAACAATTGATAATCTGCGCCAAGCGAATACAATAGATAAAATAATTTTGTCAAAGACAAAGGGATATACAACAAAATACTGAATAATTATAGGTATATTATTAATAGTAACGTATTAATATATGTAAACAATTGTCCGATAATATTTCTTGTCAACAGTGCTCACATAATAAATCGTTCGTTATAACTTGTATCAAAGAAATTTTAACCTACATTGCATTGAGTTCATCATTGTGCGAGTTGGTCTTGATACTGAAACCAAGAACGCCGTGATTCAAAGGATTTTAATACTATTTTTAACAGTGCTCACTCAAGTCCAACTATAAAATGTACATTGTTTACAAACTTATGATGTTTGTGGTGAGAAATGTTGAAAATCTTATAAACAAATTCTATTTTGCCTTAAAAAGTAATTGTAGGGTACGGTTAAATATTAATTCAACAGTAAGTACCATTGTTTGATGTTTAATGGCAGATTCGTCTTATTTCTTTACGATTTCTGAGTGAGAAATGTACGATTACGAATGTGAACTAATTAAATGCCATATTTCACAGACAGTGTTGGTAATTATTAAACCTGTCATACGTCACATTAATCGTATTGAAACATAATAGTGGAATCGTCTGCTTTCGGGCAGAAAGTTCTATTAAATCCATAATCTAAATAAAATCTAGCTATTTTATTATGTTTTAAATCAATAAAAATATAATTTGAATATAGGGGCACTTTCAGACAATCATGGCCAAATGTTTGTGGAACGCAAGCTAATTAATGGGTAAATTAATGCGTGCGAGTTTATAATATTGTCACAGACTTCACAAAAAAAGTAACTCCCCCGGCCCCCCTTTCCAATGTTGATCCTAACGTTACTAAACGAGATTGTGTCATGCTTATTCCGAGCAGAAAACAATCCCAATCAACATTGACAGGGGGGGGAGGGGGGTTTATTATTCAAATTAAGGTTAAAAACACGAAATCACACTTTACGTTCCACAACATTTGGCCATGATTGTAGTACTGCCAATTATTAAGGGAAAATCAAAACCCATGTTATATGACTTATCACGCATATGAGAAGGCATTGTCGATCATTCGAGAGGTAGGGAAAAGGAACGAATATTTTCATCCATGCAGAGAAGATAAAGTCGTGCTTTTGATGCTGGTGAATATGCCCGAACGGTTGACTTTGCTATTAGCTACCAGCAGATATTCTAAAGTTATTTATATAAACACTGAAGAAACTGCATGCTGTAATAATACCAGTAAATATCTTAATACTGTATTATTATATAGACAATATACTGTAACCTAGATATGAATGTCTTAAATAGTAGGCCCTAAGGCTTATGTCAAATTGTCAATTACAATTCCAGATATTGATCAATATACAGTGATTAAATGTCTACTAACATGTGATTTGTTACTTTTGATCATTCTGTCACATCAAAATAGAATGTTATTCCAAAATTCCATGATATTTCATGCCCATCCCACAGTTTCCAAGACCAAGTCTTATAATATATTAGACAAAGGAGATATCAAAGGAAATATCATACAGAGGAAATATCAAATTTTGATATTTCCTCTGTATGTAAGAGTTATAAACCGAGTAGGAGGTTTATAACTGATATATTGAGCCGAGGACGCGTAGCGTTCGAGGGGCAATATATCAGTTATAAACCTCCTACTCGGTTTATAACTAACTTATATCACACTTGCGGAGGTTTTCCAACATATTTTGTCATTTTCAAAAATTTTTAATGAAAAATTCTCGCGTTTTGTCTACAAGTTTAATCAAATCATTTATTCAAGGTCTATAAGCTAGTTATAAACCTCGGACGAACAAAGAAAACCGACGCAAGTGTGATATAAAGTACAATATTGACCTAAGGGTATTAAACTTAGTCCTTATTCCTCTCCAAATGCTTTGTAGACCAACTGTTGGATGCCAGAAGATTTTACCTATGTGCAAAGGATCATATACCCAGAAATATTTTTTAATGTTTGTATTCTGCTGGTAATTATCAGTGAAATCAGAAGAGTTTGGACCACCCTGTGGGTACTAAATTCATGACTTAATGATATTGCTAGAATTGCTGAATCGTGCTTTAGAAAGCACACAAGAATTAAGGCAAACCTACTTCTTTACACGTTGATAAAGTTATTAAGAATGTCCAATCTCCTCCATTAGCAAAAAGTTTGTGGAATGACATTATTGAGCAATCTAATAGCATTGCAGTATATGAAATATTTGAAGGCAAATAGAGTTTTTATGAGTTTCTTGGTTGGAAATTTAATCCAAGTTGATCATACGGAAGTTGCCGATGTGAAGGAAGAAGCAAGGGGGATTGGTGACGAGCCTCGGTCTGGCGTAGAACGGCGACATAAAACCAAGGCTACTACGTGAGATCGGCCTCATTTGCCGCTTGATTTCGCCGATAACAGAAGATAAATTTTGAAGTCTTGGATATTTTCAATCCTTCACATCTTGTGTTAAATATATATTGGTAAGAAATCATTTTAGTAATTAACTTTCATTTAACTTACAAAGTTTTGTTTACGATCTTAATTTCTCTTACATTGATTTTACTAAATATAATATTTTGTGTTTGGATTTGTGTTTTAAGTCAACGTTTAGACATGGCAAACACCGACCCTAAAGTTATCATTTTAGGTCACTCTTTTGTAAAACGTCTTCAGCGTGATTTAAATTCATCTTTCGATCCAAGGGCACGTAAAGATTTTAAACTTCGAGGTACAGCTTCTGTCTCTTTACACGGCGTAGGAGGCAGAACTGTGAGTAAACTACGCCAATTTGATTTAAACATTTTGAGTCGATTACGTCCAGTTATTGTTATTCTGGAAATAGGAACTAACGATCTCAGCCATCAAAGGCCTGAGGTTGTTGGATCCTTGATCGATAATTTAGTTTGCCATATTCTAGGCGAATTTTCGAGCGTCCGAGCTATAGGTGTTTGCCATGTGATTCCCCGCAGTTATTTGTATCTGGCGGCCGAACAATTTTTTCAAAGGGTAAAGCTTTTGAATCAATACCTAAGCGTTGTATTGGAGCAATATCCTAATGTTTTTTGTTGGCAACACAAGCAATTTAACAGTATATTTAAGGATTTATATTTACATGATGGCGTTCACCTCAATAGATTAGGTCAATATTTTTTATACCGTAGTTATCGAGGTGCCATATTACAAGCTTTGAGCATGCTGCAGTGATAGGTTTAGTTTAGGTAAGTAGCACTAGCCGCTGCGTCAACCATGTGTTTGATAAGGCTATCGTGTTACCTTTTTACATTTGTAATTAGTTTTTATTAATTCCTAGTTTGCCAATTTTGAAGTAACACTGTCATTGTATTTATATCATGAGGATATAGTAATTTATTGAGACATTGGAATTGTCCAGCTCACTTTAATTTATAGCGGTAATTTAATGCTATTTAACATGAGCATTTGGCTGTTTATAAGTTGGCATTTACTGCCAGTGTGGGTTTATAACTAACTTATATCATTTGGTAGGTTTACAAT